GTTTGTTTTTTCCGGATACAACACCTATTTCATTAAGCTTACATTGCATTTTGTTGATCTGGCCCTTCCCCAGCCTCATGAACATGTTACTTGCAGAATGTGTCTTTTTCTGCTTCACAATAAATTTGCAAGTTGTCTCTAGTGTTTCTATAAAGCAGCAATCTAGTTGCAGTTGATTCTTCAGAAGTGGGTGCACAGTACAGATTCATGGAGTAACTTATGCTCCTACGTGTACAAGTATTGTTAAAAGGAAGTGTGCCTCTGTTTTTAATTTTTTTTTTTAACTTAATCTAATACTGGGCTCTTGAGGCTTGTTAGAAGTGGTACACACCACCATCCTTTCTTTAATGCCATTAGATGGCACAGAAAATTAATTCAACCTGATTCCCCCTGCACACCCTGAGTACATCTGCTGTCTCACCAAAAAAGAAAAAAAAATCACACAGTAGCTCGAGCTAATGCTTTGCCATACTAATATGTTATAAAACTTTTGAAGGGCTAAGTCTGATTGGAATTGCTCTCTAACTGATACCTAATCTAGCTGCATGTGCACTGTGGCACCTGCAAAGTGAGCTCTACTTGCTCTGGATGGGATGTACAGGGGTGCTGTCCATGAAATTGGACTATTTGTAGGACAGTATAAAGGAATATGTCACTCCCAGACACTGCCAACAAAGTGTCTGAAAAAGAATAAATCACCTTCAGACTGGATTTTCCCTGCAATTGCCCATGGCTTGCTGCCATGGTTTAACCTCAGCTGGCAACTCAACTCCATGCAGCTGCTCACTCATTACCCCCTTAGTGGGGTGGGGGAGAGAACTGGAAGGGTAAAAGTCAGAAAATTCATGGGTTGAGTTAAAGGAAGTTTAAAGTAAAGCAAAAGCTGCACACACAAACAAGGCAAAATAAGGAATTCATTCACCATTTCCCACGAGCAGGCAGATGTTCAGCTCATCTCCAGGAAAGCTGAGTCACTAAAATGGCCTATGTAACACAATTGCTTGTCCACAGTTTTCCTTTGTGATACTTGACAGAGAACAAGCAATTTCTGAAATCAGAACCTACCTTAGTTGCTATCCATCTTAGTTTTCTTTTTGCATTTCTCTCTCTCTTTAAAGCACCTACCATTTTTTGCTAGTGAACTTTGCTATCCCTAGGAAGTCTATGCCTCTTATATAGTGCCACCTACCTCTGACAGAGATCTCAGTGACTATCTGGTTGAGTTGTTTGTTGAGAGATTATTTGCAGGCCACAAGTTAAACCAAGAACAACTCTGGATCGCTTAAGGTGGACTTTAAAAGACATTCTCAGCCAGAGTTTTTACTGAAGGTAAAACTGAATAGAAGGGAGAATGAGCTAAAATACAGGATTTCCTGCTCACTCCAAATATTTGCAAGAGTATATGTGATGTAAACAGGAAAAAAAATGAAATAAGTTGGTGTCAAAACATGATAGAAGAAATAGTTATGTTACTATGAAAATACATCTGTTGTAAAATCTGAGAAGAATTAGAAGTTGCAAAGAAGAAAATGAGCATTTGTTAAAACTGGACTTTGCATTTAAAATAAAAAGTATGATACTGAGCATCTTGACTTTTTATGATTGTTAAAAAAAGGCCACAAACTGTATCATCTTAGTGTATTTCCAGGCCATCTCTTATAAGCTGGCCATACTTGGAGGCTTAATAATGATAGTGAGGCACAGTTGTCCTTTTTTCATAGATAATTTCTTACTTTCAAATGTTATGCAAAAATTATATGATTTTTTATTTATTTATTTATTGTGTAGCATTTGTCTGTACTAAGTCAGTTAGGCAAAGCAAAATTTATCACCGAAATAGAACTGTGGAGGTAAAGTAACGGCTTTAACCTGCACATGGTCTAAGCCCTATGAGGGAAACCTTGATGGGGTTTTCAGACAAAGCAAGCCATTACAATTTCATCTTCATGAATCCATTAGTAGCCTAAAAGGAGCTTAAAATTTAAGCCTCACTGACAATTTACTTGGAAACAGCAACACACTGCATGTGGCTTTGCATCAGTCTGGTGTGGGTTATTTGCAACCCTCCACCCCTACATCTCGCTACCAGCAGTAATCTCATTAGACGATTATGTCTGGTGTTCTCAACAAACAGATTTAGTCATAACTGAGAAAGAACTTCAGGTGGGTTCAGTTAACTGGGTGGTCATTTTATTACTGGAGACTCTTGAACTCTCTAGCTTTGCCTTAAGTGAAATGCGTTTATGGCCAGTTAAGATGTGCTAGTCTGCAATAATGAACATAACAGTCTGTTATTTAGTCAAAACTACAAGAATCAAGGGTTGAGCATTTTTGTACTCATGAATCTCTAATGCAGCTGTACTAAATGTCACTGAAATACCTGGTTACCAGTCTGTGGCTAAGTCATTTGAGGAAAGTGTTCTGTAGGCTGGTGAGCAGCCTCTAGCTCTTCTTAGACTTGTTTCGGTTAGCTCAACAGAAGAGAAATGTGTGGGGAGCTTTTGCTTCCAGTGTGGCTGATAGCCTGGGGCTGAATAGTTGTTACGATCAAAGGAGCGGGAAATCTCCAGGGTTACATGAAATTGCAAGTATTGCATTTTGTTGCTCAGTAGCAGGCAGAATTTGACTTTGGCAGAGAAATATTTTTTTTTTTATTTTATTACAACTTTCTAATCTTTTTGGCTAACAATGTTTATCTTTGGCTAATGATATGTGAATAATCAGACTGCTTATTTCTCTGTTTTCATTGGAGGAGATGGAAAGCTGTTGAGGGAAATAAGTTAACTTGGTTGCCCATACAGATGGAGACTTAGTGAGAAGTTTTTAAACTTTCTTTTCCTGCAGAACTGTCTTTGGAATCAATCTGAGGCACTGAAAAATTTGTAGCGTGTTCACCAAGAGAGTGTCTAGATTTGTCCAGTGAATGAACTCTTCAGATTAGTTTTTTGCATATTCAGGTGGAAGTTCCTAAATAGTAACTGAGCTCATGTGCTTTCCTTGAGGTAGGGATAGCAGGGGAAGGTATTTATTATGAATGTAGCTGTGTTCTTGGAACCTTCAGTGTCTTGTTGAATGTAAGTTGCACAGATTCACAGTCACTATGGCAGGGAGATGTGTTGTGATCTCCAGCCTCCACAGTACGAAATACACAGAATATTAGTGTCTAAGCTGTACTGAACAGTGAAGTCTGGTGCACTAGCAAGACAATAGCCCTATATTTATAGGCTGTGTTGGCCACGATGAGGAGCTACATGTTTTTATAGATAGGTGTTTGCTGTAACTCTTGTATGTTCAGACCCACTTCTCTGGGAACACAGGAGATCCTGAGGTGTTAGAGCTGGAGGAAGGGGTACTGTTGCTGAGTTTGTGTACAGAGGGGAAAAAAGCTGAAATCTTTTTGGCTAACTGTAAGAAGTAACTCCTTATTTAAGTTGTTACTTCACTACTGGCTAAAAGAAATAGAATCTCTTTTGGCTAAAATGCAAGGATCTGAATGGAAAATTCAGATTCACAGAAGGATTATACAATGGAATCTTTCAGTTGAAAATGTTCCACTGCATCCACAAAATGGTCAGAAAGAACATGTGACAACTTTATACTGGCCTGTTTCTTCTCAAATGAGGCAGGTTCAAAAGTGAAGCACATGACTAACCTTCAGCTTCAGTATATAAACCCAAGCCTACTTCCTAGGAAAGGAAGATAATATGAAAATGTTGTGTTGGGATAAAGTCATGAAGTGCAGTCTTTAAATGTACATTAAGTTGATGTATACAAAATGATGAGTAGCATCTTGATCTCTGTATTGCTGAAGTTTTACCTCTTAATCACTGGAGCATGAGGAAAGCTACCACTGAAAAAATGCTAGTTTGTAACATTTTGCCATAACTGTATTACCTAAGTCAAGTCTCATTTAGCTTTGTTGCCTGAAGGATCTCTAAATGTATGATATAAAAACTGTAAGTCTTTTCCTTGATGGAAAGGGTCCTTTCTGATCTGAGAGTTGCAACATCTGCCCAAAAAGGCAAGATGGGCAAGGTGTTAGGCATTTACAAGCTGGAGAGATGGACAGCAGGGCAGGAAAGTAATCCAGGGGTTTCATTTTCTGATGAAATACCTATGAGATATGTCCTGCATGAAGTTGAAGCCTATGCCACATCTTGCCTATGCCACATCTTGCTCTTGGCAGTTTCTTCCCAAGGGCTTTCTGCATGCCCATGGTTACTTTTGCAGAGAAGGTGAGGAAGACTGTAGCAGCCAGATGGAAAATGTAGAACATTTTGTCATCCCTCAGCACCCTGCTCTGCCAAAACGTGGCAAAGCACAAGTAGGACACTCCTGCTGTGGTGTTGCTATCAAACAGGTATTGATTTCTAAGCTGGAATGGGGGGGAGGGACCTGGAAAATACAGAAAAGTAACAAGAGTAGATTTAATTCCCCATAGGCTTCACCTGAGTGATCACTGTCAGAGAAAACTAGTCACAGCAACAAAGCAGCAAACAGACTCTTCCAGCTTCTCTTTGAACTGGCTGCTTCTGCACTTAGGGATGGGGTCTCCCTTACTGCCAACGCCGGGGTCCACTAGACCTGTGCCCTTCACAGCAAGTTTCAAGACCCAATTAAGACTCTGCTTTGGTTTATGGACTCTGGTGCATCGTGCTGAGTTCAGGTTCTTGATGCTCTTCTGTACTGATTCCTGTTTTGCTTGTTACAAGCTTTCAAGTGCTTCTGAAATACCAACATCTTAACTGACTGATGAACTAATAATACAAGCTTTAATCCACGCTACTTCTTTAAACTTATACTTGATGATGGAAGATCCAAAGAAACAGCTGAAGTGGGTAGGAAGACTGATCAAAGCCAAATAACTCAGCTAACACATTTTGTAACCAGTGTCTCTCACAAGCAATAGGATTAAGTGGATCAGCTGGCATGCTTTGTGCCTGGTGAAAAGAAGCTTATTTAAATTAAGAGGGCCAGGGAATCTGTGTCTCAGTCCAGAAGGAAGATGGGTTCCACAGAAGACCTTGACTATCCTCAAATCATTGTGCAATACAGCAGTGGATTTTTAGTCTCAAAGGTAAGAAATATAACTCAGTCTTAGAATGCAGACAGAAATATGCAAGGATTTCACTTTAGGTCCTGAATGTAAATCTTTGGAAGAAGTGAAAGAAAGAGTCTGGCATAATGACTGTTTTTCCAACCAGCATTTTATTAAGGCACAAAGGTAGAACTAGTACTTCCATTCTCCATATTGTTTACGTTATTTGCCTTTCTCTGTGTGTAAGCACATGGGCATAAATCTATAACATGTAGTGAAATGGACAATTTTTTCCTAAGTTTACTATTTAGTTACTTTTCTTATTGTTCCTTGCTGCACCTGTGGTCAACACAGTAAAAGAAGGAATGCTCTTTGAGTTGTGCAAATACCATTGCATCTCAATGCTCCTAAAAGACAGGGCTAACAGTAAAGAGAGGAAAAACAGATAATGAAAAATTACTTTACTTTGTAAGAAAGAGGAGCACCCAATGCTTTCCAAATTAACATGGTATTATGTACCATGCCTAATCAGTAGGCTTTGCTGATTTCACCTGATCCCTCAGTCCCACCTTTCCTTACCCCCAGGTTATGTTCACTGCTTGTGAGTTGGGGGTGTTTGATCTTCTGCTGGAATCAGGAGAACCTCTGTCTTCAGATTCCATTGCTGCATGCTTGGATACCAGCACCACCGGGATGGAAAGACTGCTGGAGGCCTGTGTGGGACTGAAGCTCTTGGCAGTAGAGGTGACACAAAAAGGAGGTAATAAAGGCAGAGGAAGGGGAATAAACTAAAAGACTTAAATGTCTGATGGTTTTGAAAGTGAGATAAGATGTGTGGGCAAAGGTGATACCTAATATTAGGTCAGTTAATGTAGCTGGAAGAAGGAGGGAATCACTTGGGATTCATGCTTCAGCTGAAAGAGAAGTGGCAAATGTCAGCATGATCACAGGTGTAAAGTAAAATCCAGGTGAAGAGCTCTATATCCCTAAACTTCTTTGTGCAAGAGCCTCAAGTGACCTTGGAGGCGATATTCAGGATCTATTCAGAGCTGGTCTCAAGAAATCTCTGAGATATGGGCATGATTTTAAACCTTAAAACAAAATGCCAGGGTGTATAGGAAGCAGCATGATTTAAAAACAGGTTTTGGGTTTCTTTGGCTTTTTACCATCGTGTGAACTATTTTCATCAAAACTGAGAGGTAACATAAGTTTGTTCTTGCATCAGAATCATTGATTCCACTTGAACAGCAGGGATCTCTGGCCACCAGATTGCTGGTCAGGACTACCCAGTGTTATAAATTGTGTCCCCTTTTCTAGCTGGTGTTGTCATGCTCTTTGTTAGGGCTGTTGCCCAGTGAGTTCAGGGAGAGCAGAATCTATCTTTTATATTCCTTTGGTATGCCAAACCTGTGGATGGGCAATACCATTGCAGATGCATTGGAGGAAATGGGAGATTTCTGAGAGTCCTTTTTTCTGTCTGCAGAAGGACCTGCCCTAGTGAACTGAGAGAAAGTAGGTGTAGCTGGCATGCTGTTTTGGGGACCTGTCTCCCAATTGCTGACTTTGATTATCAGAAAAAGACTTCTCTGCAAAGAGTTCTTATTTAGGTGGAGCACCCTGAAATCTTCCTCTGAGTGCAGAAGCCTGTAGATAGATAAAGGCACTCGTAAGGCATTCTTTTTGCTCTTCTTGAAAGATGTGTTTGGTTCTGGAGTGGAGTGTAGGGAGATACTCAGATCGAATGGGGCAACACAGATTTCAGCAGCCCTCACCCACTGCTCATTGCAGTGGAAGGATTTGATTGTAGAAGCAATGTTGTTGTGTCCTTGGCATTTTCTTTGTTTCTAGGCATCCTCTTGCAATAAATACTATTAGAGGCGAGAGCTGTGACACCTCTGAAAATATTAAGACTGTGTTGCATTCTGCTAGAAATCACATACAATGAGACAGAATGGACAAGACAGAGAGCAAGAGAGAGTGTTTATTTCAGGGAGTCAGCTAGCTTATATGGGGTAGAGCATAGAATGTGTGGCATTTAAGAGGATTTTAGGGAGTTTCATACAAGGAGGTATCTATATAGGAAGAAATTAAGCTAAACACATCCTAATATGGGTGAGAAAGACAGGGAAAAGCTGTAAATTTTAATTAACAGGGCCAATGAGCATAGGGGTTACAGTCAGCAGATAGGAACAGGGCTAACAATAATTGAAACTGCATACTACATACAGAGCAGGATTTTTTCTAACATTGTTACTAAATTAAATAAACATAATGCTTCTATAACATGAAAAGCAGTCTCTGAGGTAGGAAGTTATCGGTTGTCCAGTAGTTTAGCTGCATTCCAAAGCTGTCTTCTCTTCAATTCTCTTTTTCTTCAGAGATTTTTCTCCACCAAGAATATATTTCTTGCAGTGAACTTCCAACAAAATACCATGCTGTACAATAGACTTGGCGAGGTGGTATATCATACATGCTAGTAAATGTATTTATTTCACCCTTTAGCCCTCTACAGAAACACAGAAATTTCCAACATCTACCTTACAAAATCAAGCCCAAAGTCTCAGTATCATATGATGATGTATTATTCCAATACAGTCTACTCGTGCTGGCAGCACCTGACTGAAGCTGTGAGGTAAGGGGAGTGTTGTGTGCTGTGTGGTGCAGCCTGCTTTGCAGCATCTTCATGGCTGCTCTGAGTGGTGTGTTTCTGGGAAAGGGCTCAATGAAGACGCTGGCTGGTTCTTAGAAATTAAAACCTGCAGGTAATTTCAGCTGTTGACATGACTGATATGTGTTCTTCACCACCCCCCACCCCATTTTCTATATGTGTGTGTGTTCTTGTTTTCCTTTTCCCTCTGATTATAGAGATAATCTAGAAATCAGATTTCTGTCTGTTTCACCTTCAGGAAAATACTTTATCATTACAGTGGTTCTTACTTGAGGAGGCATCAACAAAGTAAATTATGAGTAATGATGGCTAAGTATGCTTTTGTTGCAAAGGTTTATAGGAGTGGTTTAGTATAGGTCTAAAGTCTTACTTGTTCCAGTCCATGCAACTGATGACCAGACACGGGGTGTATGATGGTGATGATTGCACCAGTCTTGTACCTTTACCTGAGTTGTGTTCCCAGAAATCACAGATTCCTAGAATGTTTTGTGTTAGAAAAGACTCTAAAGAACATCTCGTTCCAACTTTCCTGCCATGGACAGGGATACCACTCACTAGATCAGGTTGTTCAAAGTGTCATCCCAGGGTGACCTCAAAAAGAGCCAGTCATTCTAGTGAAAGGTTGAGAAATATATCAGCATGTTTTGGGGTGGCAAGTGAGGGTGCCTCTAGAGTCAGTGCAAACAGACTTACATATATTCTGTACAAAGCTGAGTACCTTCCACAGTGATGCTCTACATGAAACTGCAGCCCTGAGGTGTGTTTGGGGTAAAAGAAAAAAAAATCCATACTCTCATGCATTTTTGACTGCTATTTTAGAGAAGGAAGAAACCAATATGAAAGAACTTTTGGCATTTCATCTAAAGATCCTTTTGGAGCAATGTACAGGTAACTGTTAGTATATTTATAGAAATTTTGTTTTTCTTATTGTAGATAAAAATAATGTTTTTAATTATGGCTCAGGACAATTAAATATATTGATGTGGGAATCCCTCTCATCAGAACTGTCATGCAGTGTTTTTGTTTCTCAACAATATCAGTTACTGAGACACTGTCTGATATTTTGGAAAGAAGTATATAATTTCCTAATCTGAAAAACATATCCCAGATCTCTGACAGAGGCAATGGTAGTTAAAGGAAAAAAAAAATCCCTTGGAAGCCTGAGAATTAGAAGCAAAATACGTGTTAAATGTTGGATTTCACTACTCTTAATTCCCTATTTTAATGCATGAATTCATAGCTGTACTCTCCTGATACAGTAATATTCAAGGAAGCTTTATATGCAAAGATAACATATTCTGTGTCAATAAAAGCAGAGATTAATATTTATACTAAAACTTGTAATAAGTTATATGATAGGAATCACCAAGGATGTGGTAAGTAACCTTCTCTATGTACTATGTCTTTTTGTATTACTAGATCAGAAGAAGAAATATCAAAATTTATGGCTGGCCAGAACTCAGTATGGAGTATATGTGGCAGAGATGTTCTTGCTGCATTTGACCTTTCTTCTTTCACGCAGATTTATGACCTGGGAGGTGAGTGTCTGTAGATCTTCTTTAGCTAGCCTCTTAACTGACTTTTACAAGCTTTGAAAAGAAAAATAACTTCTATGTTATATGATGGGCAAAACAATGGAAAGCAGGACGTATTTCAGCAATAAAAGGAACATTTTACTGATTTGGTTGGGTTGAAAACAGAAATGTGAGAGTGATGAGAGAAAGGAAGCTGAATGCTTTTCTCTACAGAGTCTCAGCTATGTGAGCAGTCAGCCATCCCCTTGTGTATATTTCAGCTTTGGCAATTTTTCATGCCTTGCTTGATACGTTTTTCCAGCGCCAGACTCTTTCCCTCCTCCTCTTCAGTCACTGTCATTGAGATACTGTCTAGAGCCTGTTATCCTGCTGCACCCCACTGTCAAGCACTGCTCAGTGCTGCCAGGATGGGTCAGGATCCACCTCCATCACTTCTTCCCCAGCACCTGGTTTAGTGGTTGTTTTTCATTTTTCCCTTTCCAGCACGCACAGCTGAGTCTGGTGGGGAGGGTGTGGGAAAGCTTTAAGGGGTGGGGCTGACCCAGAACAAATGGAGACAGTGGCCTCTACCACCCCCCCTTCTTCCCTTTCAGCAACACATGGGAAGCAAATGTGCATTGCCGGGTTCCATTAGGCTGAATCCGCCATTTCCTGCACGGTTTCATGGGGGTGTTGCTGAACAGGTTGGTTTTGTGTCAGCGCTGACCTTCTTTTGCTTTCCCCAAAGGAGGTGGAGGAGCTTTGGCCCGGGAGTGTGTTTCTTTGTATCCCAATTCGACAGTCACAATTTATGATCTACCAAAAGTTGTCCAAGTGGCCAAAGAGCAATTTGTTTCCCCTGAGGAGCATCAGATCGCATTCCATGAAGGTGGGTGTGGACAGTGGGGTAGCATTGCCACAGCTGTTGCTCTCAAGCCCCTCAGCTCTGCTCAGAGGTACCACACTGGAGGGTGGTGTATCCAGCTGCCCTTTATGGGGGTTGAGTGTCCCAGGCTCAGCCCCCCGAACCCAGATCTGCAGCTGTCCCAGGTAAGCATCTGCAGCTGTCAGAGACACAACTAAGTTGTTCAGTAACACAGAAGCTCTTTATTCCTGAGCATAACTATTTGATTTATTTTTCACTACAAGGGTACATTAACAAAAAAAAAAAGCATCCTGCGATTTTGAAATCTGCCATGCCTTGTTATAAATTTTCCTGGCACTCCCCTTTCCTCCTGTGAAAACCTTTTGGCAGATGTGAGAGATGCCAGGCCTGCTCCAAGCAAGGGGGTTTTCCTTGTCTGGTCACGATTGACTTTCAAGCCCTAATACATTTCAGACCATAAAAGTGAACGAGCTAACTCATGTTCCTCCTGCCCATTCCATTGATCCTTCATTGTCTTTTTACCATCTGTGATGAAAATGAGTGTAGAGGGATCTTATTTTTAATGTTTACAAAAGCCTTTAAAGTGTTGGAATGGCTTATTGTTGCTTGATGCTCAGAGGGAGAAAAGAAGCCTTGAGGAAAGAAAGGAGTGTGTAAAAACAAAGATGCAACAAAATGGGAGAAGAAATGACAAAGTAAAATGCTGAGAGAAAAATCTGAATGCAGTACACCAGGTGCTAAACAAAAGGCATGATAATGAAGCCAGTGCTAGGAGGTGAGAGGTGTGTATTCTTACTTATGTATTTATCACGTAATTCTCTGATTACTGAAGGTCTTCAAAAATTTTCTTGGATAAGGGAATATTCTTTCCTTTTTTTTCATGACAGAAACCATGAAAACGTGTTCCTTAGTGCTTTATGAATCTGAATTTATATCACTGGAGAAAACCTAAACTCAAATGCTTTCCTTTGCCTCAAAGGCTGTTTCAGGATGAGCTGCTGCTTTTAAATGTTTCATATCTTGAGACTGAACAAGAGCAAAATACCCTATGCTGTGCAACATTGCACTCCAACTGGTAATTCCATTGCTGTCTGATATGTGTGATGGACATGGCAAGCCCAGAACTGAAAATATTTGCTTATGTGTTCTTGCTTTACAGGAGATTTTTTTAATGATTCAATTCCTGAAGCTGAACTGTATATTTTATCCAAGATACTGCATGATTGGGATGATGACAAATGCAAACAGCTGCTGGCAAAAGTCTACAAAGCTTGCAAACCTGGTAGGTGTAAGCTTGTAAAGAGCAGAGAAACTCTTGCCTATCAGTAATGGGAAACCCACCAGTCTTAGTTCTCAACTGGGGTGGCAGAGCTTCAGTGCAGGTTTAGTCTTGGTTTAGTCTTTTGCTTTCCTAAGCCATCCATGTGAAACAGAGCAAAATTGGGCCTGATCTAAGATCTCTTTTTCTGGCTTCCAGTTTTTGTCTCCTTCTCTACAGGGACTCCTCTTTCAAGGCATTTGGGTGTAAGGATTGAGGATTTGGGGTATTGTTTAGGTAGGTGTATACATCATAGTAAAAGTCCTATTAAGCATTACATTGAACCCTCAGAGCTTCAAAAGCACTGCCTACAGAGCCAGATTCTCAGCAAAATCAGTAAGGTCCTGTGGATTTCAGCTGGGGGAAATTTCTATCCCAGCAATAGCATCCCCATCAGCCTTGTTATGTCAGTACCTACATAGCCAAGCAGACACATGATTCAATGCTTTTGTTCTTTCATTGTCTTCTGTGATGCTGAAATATGACTCAACACAGAGGCTGCTTCTTCCTGAAACTAAAGGTTAGGATCTGTCCTAGTAACAGCTCAAAAATAGCTCAGCTTCTCAGAGCTCAGCATGTTCTTCACTGCTCTTCATTCAATCAGGTGGTGGAGTGCTGCTGGTTGAATCACTTCTGAATGAAGATAAAAGTGGGCCTTTAGAAACCCAACTGTATTCCATGAATATGTTGGTCCAGACCGAAGGAAAAGAGAGAACAGCAGCAGAGTACAGCAAGCTCCTTGAGGCAGGTGGCTTTGGAGCGATCCAAGTCAAGAGGACCGGAAAACTCTATGATGCTGTTCTAGGAAGGAAACAATAGTGCACCTTTTATGTACCTAACAAGACAGAAGAAGTGGGGAAATGTGCTATTCTCTTAGAAGAGAATCATCAACGTAGCTTTTAGTTAAGGCAGCCAACTTTTTTGTAAGCTGATATGTTGACAGAAGAATCACTAATTACAAAACTTTAATGTGCATGTACTGCAAGTCTGGCAGCCTGACCAGGCTTGCCTTTGGATCTGGAAGGGAGAGAAAGAAATCAATACCTGTTCCACAAGAGAAAACCCACAAAAGAAATGTGCACTGTGTCTGCTTCAGATTTTATCGTTTTCTGTTATTTTAACACTGTATCTGACAGAAGTAGAGCTGAATTTGTACTTGAATTCCTGTAAAATAAAACTGATTCCTGTATTGAACTCTCTTACCTGAATTTTTATTCTGGAGGAATCGATATAATAAAACCAGACCAAAATTATGTCTCCTTGTGGTTAGTCTTTCAGAGTCCTATGAGAAATCTTGTCTAAGTGTTGGGGAACTTGGCATGAAAAAATGATATTAATTTTATTTCCTCTAGGTTTTGGTTTAATTTATGAAAAATAATTTTGTACCTTAGTGACTGTTTGAAGCCCCAGGATTCTCTTTACAGGGCAGCTAGGAGGATGATGCAGCATTCTGTTATGCACTTGGGAAGTCCTTACTGCATGCCTCCTGCTATTTCTTTAAATCATTTGATCACGCACAGACTGCCATTATCCACCCAGTTCTTGGATGCAGAATAAGAGATTACAGAAGTGAGAAACGTTTGGAGAAGGCAACAGAAAGTCATTCTCTGCAGTTTTTTCTTGAGCACTAATTGGACACAAACTGAAACACAGAAGGTTCCATGTGTACATCAGGAAACACTTTTTCACTGTGAGAGTGATTAAGTACTAGCATACTTAGTACCAGAGAGGTAGTAGAACCTCCCACTTCAAGGATATTCAAAGGCTATCTGGACATGGTCCTGGTCAATCAACTCTAGGTAGACCTTCTTGAGCAGGGGGGACTGGACCAGAGGACCTTCAGAGGTGTCTGAAGATCCTGTGATTCTGTGTGTCCAATATGAATGAATTTAAGACATGCTGTTTCTGACAGCTCATTTTTAGGGGTCAGTATTTCAGTGTTTTGCTAATCAGTTTTCATGCAGTGTTTTGAATGGTGGTGGGAAAAATCAGTTTTTAACTGTCAATTGATGTTGGGCAAACCAAGCTTTCAATCTGGAAAGAGATCAAGCTGATTCCTAGAGGGAGACCTCTCTCCAAGTATGGATTGAAAATAAATCAGGGAGAGGGAAAGTTCAGGCCAAAGTTCTGATTACTGGTCCTGATTTGTCCTTGCCACTCCGGAGCCATTGGCTAATGGAAGCTTGAGAAGGACTGTGGCCTCCTCTTGAGAGCTCAGTTCAACTACTGCAGGTGAGTGCAGTGACCTAAGGTATATGGCAATCTCAATTGTGGCCTGGTGGCAAAACAGAACCCACAAAGCATGGGCAACAGCAACTTTAAGTGCTGTGACCCCACAGATGGCTCCTATAGCAGCCAAGGTACCAGAGTTACTAGCTGCAACTGCAGAAAGGATGAGGAGGTCTATGATAATAGATTTTGCAAGTTCATGGGCTGACCAAGTTCCAGCTGGGGACCGGGCAGCCCCAGGGGTACACAGAAAGAAGTCCTTGAAAGTGCAGGAAATCCTCAAACTCAAGTAATTCCTCAAGAATTATACTCTTGTCCCATGAGTCTGCATCCAAATTACGTACCTTAGAAAGCAACTTTCTTCCTGAGATAACAATTGCAACCACTCAAATGAAAGGTCTGTCGATATCTTCTATTGCAGTAAAGCAATTTTGATGATGTGCAAGTCATAATGCCCCAATTAATCAATATTGGTAGAAAATGGTCACTAAATCTTTAACTCTGCATCTGTCCATCCATCTACCTGCTGAAAGAACCATTTTTTTTGGAGTGTAAACTCTTCAATAACTGTAGAACAGAGGTTAATGCTTGCATCAGGTTTCAGGAAGCCCCATTCTACATGCTGCTGACTCCTTCATCTCCAGTTCAGTCAAAGGCATCTGAAGTACAAGTATAGGATAATACCAGAGGGCCCAGAATACCAGAGAGCCCAGGAGTGTAAACAATCAGACATGATTCGCTTCAGATAACTTCAACAGGTGGATAGAAACAATGTAAGGCTGAATTTGGATATGTGTAGACTTGTGTAACAGCGTAGTTCAGCTGTCCATGGGTGATCCCATTGCAGAGATGCCTGTAAGGAGAATGTAAAGTAGCAGTGAACCAACTGTTCAATGCTTGCATTTGTTCAGAACCGGGTGTGCAGAATGGAACCCACTGGTCCTTGTATTTGTACATCTGTGAGTATTTTTGATTATTGTTAAAAGGAAATGTGCCTCTACTTTTTTGTACTTTGTATGGTACTGTGTTCTTGAGGCTAATTTGAAATTGCATGCAACATTCTATCTTTAATCACAGCGAAGGAAATCCATTTGACCTGGTATCCCCTCACATGCCTTATCCTCTCTATACATCTCTTGCTGCCACACAATGAATTTGTAGATTAGCTCAAGCAAATGCCTTGCCATAGCTGTAGGTTAAAACTTTTCAGGACTAAGGCTGCCTGGAACTCTATTTTTATCTTTAGCTAAGCTAATAACATATGTCCTGTGGCAGCTGCAAAGTGAACTCGGCCTGCTCTGGATAGGATGCTCAGCATTGCTGTCCTTGGAACTAGGCTGTTTGTGGTCCAACGGGAAGGGATAATGGTGTAGTAGCACCACAGTTACCCTTGCGAGCAATCTCCACTTGCCAGCCAAGTGCCTAATCATGGATATTTCACCCTCAGATCAAGCCTCCCTGCAGTTTTGTGGATGACCACTGTCATAAAGGCTAGTAGTCCTGGGAATTGCCTGGTAAAAGAAAGTGCTAGTGATGTCCATGCTTCCTACTTTAATTGGTAAAAGTCAGAGTGAAAGTGTTTTGAGCATTCTTTTCCATAGAACTGTCTTTGGAATGGATCTGAGGAACTGAAAAAGCTGTAGTGTGTTCATTAAATGTTGGTCTAGATTTGGGCAAGTGAATAAAATTCTCAAGCTTTCACTTCCATACAGATGGAAGACACTAGAAACTGAGATTGTGCACTATCCTTGAGGTGAGGATAGCAGGAGAAGATGTCCATTATGAATGTAGCTGTGTTCTTGAAACCTGTTCTCCAGGTCTTTCTTTCAGAGTAATGGTGTCTTGTAAAATGCAAGCTGAATGGATTCTGGACTATGTTGTCCAGGGTGAGGAGTCATGCATTTTTGTACAGTTTGGTGTTCGCTCTAAATTTTGCATATTCAGACCTAGTATTCTGGTAACACAGGAGACCCTGCGGTATTAAAAACCAGGAAACAGGTACTGTTTCTGAGTTGTATACAGTAGAACATTTTGAATGTTAAGGATATGTAGATGTCCATAATGTAGGGACATTTTTTTAAAGACAAATTGTTAAGGTAATCAGCCTAACAGACAAAGTCAAGAAACAGAAGCAATAAGAAATCGCATCCAGGTACAAAAGCTAGCAAACAGGCATTGAGAAGCACAGTGTAAAATATCAGAACTCCCCAGCCTCTCTGTGGAGGACCACTAGAGGAAGCCCAAAAAGCCCTGAAGAGGTTTTAGCCAGATATTTTTAACTGAGAAGTAGGGCAGAAATGAAATTATCAAAGGGCTTAAGAGAGAGAGAAAACATCATGTCAAGTTAAAGTGGAGTTGTGGAAATTACTGTGGAGCTTGTGGTGAACTTTGAATACTTAGAGAAGGGGCCAAAGGCAGAAAAATGGAGGAATTAAGGTGGGTAGGGGAAGAACCATCCCAGTGAAATAGAGAAAAGGTGAGATAAAATGTACTGATCATGTTTTGCATGCTGCTGCTCAGCATACCTGTCTGGCCAAGCTGCATGCCTGATCAATAGAGACGTTCTTTATATTAAGCTCTATCCCTTGTTACCTTCTGTTTCTTTTTTGCAAAGCTATCCCGCATCAAAAGCCAGATCAATAGAGTGAAGCTGCTTTTGAACAAGTCCCAGGCAAGACTCCGCTTTGGTTTGTGGACTCTGGTTCATCGTGCTGAGTTCAGGTTCTTGATGCTCTTCTGTACTGATTCCTGTTTTGCTTGTTACAAGCTTTCAAGTGCTTCTGAAGTACCAGCATCTTAACTGACTGATGAACTGACAATACAAGCTTTAATCCACACTGCTTCTTTAGACTTATACTTGATGATGGAAGAAAAAAATCTGATAGAAAAGCACATCAAAGCCATATAACTCATCTAACACATTCTGTAGCCAGTGTGTTTCTCAGAAGCAATAAGATTAAGTGGATCAGCTGGTATGCTTTGTGCCTGGTGAAAAGAAGCTTATTTGAATTAAGAGGGCCAGGGAATCTGTGTCTCAGTCCAGAAGGAAGATGGGTTCCACAGAAGACCTTGACTATCCTCAAATCATTATGCAATACAGCAGTGGATTTTTAGTCTTAAAGGTAAGACATATAACTCAGTCTTGTAAAGATGTCTAAGACTGAAATGCTCAAGGACATTCTTCCCTGAAAGCAAAATAGTTCATAATAAAGCAACCTAATACTAAACTAACTTTAGAGTTGAAATAAGCATGATAAAAGTCTAAGGGAAAAAAATAAAACAAAAATAACAACTAAGGCAGATCTGGCCCTCAGGGTGTACCTAACATTTATTGAGACCCCTCTGACCTTTGGAGGCTTGGACAAGTAGATGTTGCCTCCTCATGAAGTTTTAAAAACATAGAGGTTTATATCTGAGGGTTTGTTGTCTGACTGCTTCAAATGTGGAAGGTTCTTCAGTGGTGGGATTTCTTCCCACTTTTCATTTCTGAAGTTTGAGAAACAGAGGGCTCACTTTCACTGCCTTTTTTTTCCCCTTGTTATACCATGGAAAGAACAAGATTTTTCAACTATTTCTTCCCTTTCCTAATTTACCATGCAGACAGCTAAGTTTGATAACGTTTGTATATTATGTCCCTTCGGATGGAAGGGACTGTGAATACAGAGTGTCTCATAATGACTCTCTCCCAGACAGCATATCATTAAGGCAGACAGGGAGAAGTTTCAATTTCCTTAATGTTTGCTGATGCTGTTTTCCTGTGTGTATGTGCATTTGCATAAAATTCCTGTATTCAATTTCAATTTTAATTTCCCTCATTAACAATCTACAGCAATTTCAAAATTCACATTCTTGTCATGTTTTTGAAAAGTAATCTCAACCACGTTCTTACTGAAGGTAAAAGAGTCTTCCCTTTCGTGGATATTACCAAGCCATTTGCCAGTGGTACTAAATGAGGTAGCT